CTTTCTAGAGAAATCCTTGAAATCTCAATGGGGTTTGCAAATATTCCTGGGCTGTATAATTCATAAACAAATGATAGTTACAGTTCTATCTGGATTTCAACTTAAATCGATTTATAATCTCTGGGCTTCAGTGTAGTGTCTGGCTAGTGGTCAAGGAAGAAGGGGACAACTTATACCCCTTCCCAAACTAAAGTAATCCTTGAATTTAAGATTCAGAGAATATTTGTAAAAACTAAAGCCAAACTCATTCTTCCATATTATGATGAACACAAAGTCAGAGGTTGAAAGTGCATTGCCAGACTAACTAAAGTAAAAACATGCTACCCTGCCTGAAAAACAAAAGCAGATGAGGAATGACTCATGTGACAGAGTAATTATGTAGCAGACAGCAAGTTTTGAGTTTCAATCTCCATAGCACGAAAAATAAAAATTCTGCATGTTGTCAATCCATTTGGCAAACAGGCAATATCCTATCACTGCCACAGTCTGCACATAATTCCAATCTCCAGTTTTCAGTTGGTCTTTATTTGTTTGTTCCCATGTATATTAGTAAAGAGATGACCCAGGTCCCAGCTTTGCTTTAGGTATCTATAGGTGGGAGTTTGTATATCTTGTGTTTTGATGGGATCTGGCTATAAAGAATCCAGCCAGAATCTTGTTGCAGGGAGAATGTAAAGTTCTATACTCTTTTTACCTAGATTATCAGGCAATTTTGGTATCTCGGTATTCAATATATTTGTGCTCACTTCCATCAGACGTTTTGTGTCTCACCGTCATCTTGAAGCAAGAGAGGAGACCTCTGCCTATACACCAAATGAACACCATATCAGGAATGAGCCCCCTCAGAATTTCCTCAGTGCTGATGAGAGGAAAGTTGCATGCGTACCTCATCCCCTCATCTTATGGAGAATAACCTGAAGGTATTTTCCACATTTCCATGGGACATTGAAGTTCAGTCATCTTCAGCAACAGGAAGTGTTTAGCTTGTTGTATGGTCTTTACTGTCCATTTCCCCTTCCCTACGTTTCTTCCTCCCGTCACATTGCTTCCTAAACATCCTAAATTGTGCAGACCCTAGAACCCCTTGGGAACTCTGACTGTGTACACAAAGTATGACTGCGTTGTGTGCATGTAGAAAGCCTGATGTTAGTAGAAAACTGCTGGCTTATGTGTTGGCTTATCCTGTTTATATGGGAACCTAGGTGCTTATCATTATACAGCTATCCTATACAAAAACAGATTGAGAGTTTGGTAAGTAGTGATTTTAACTTTACTATTTCTGATACAGGTATGGGCAGATGTTGAGGTCAATTCAGTCTTTTTCCCCTCCTCTCTCTCTCTCTCTCTCTCTCTCTCCCTCTCTCTCTCTCTCTCTCTCTCTCTCTCTCTATCTCTCTTTCTCTCTCTCTATCTCTATCCATCTATCATTGTATACTTCTTAATACAAAAAAGCATCAGACACAATTCAGAACTCAGTTGATACAATAGGGATATTATGGAAGCTCATTGTTTGGATCTGACACACTCAGGATTTTTGCTCATGTATCACCAGATCTGCATGAAATGTAAGAACAAAGATCCTATCTGCTATTTTCAAGCCTAGTTTTCTGCTAGGATTTTTCCTTTATTTCTTTTTTTAAAATTTTATTTTACTGTAAAGATGCTGTATATGAGTAAGATAATGAGTACATATTTTTGAAGATTGTTATCCATTCCTTTGTTTTTTTTCTCTTACTATCACTTCCCTCTCTCACCTCCACTACTTCTCCCTCTACTGTCTTTCTTTTTTTATTGTGAAAATACCATACAGAGGGGTTACCTTTACATGGGCAAGTAATGAGTACATTTCTTATCAGGCATTGTTGCCTCCTCCTTGTTTCCCTTCCCATCTCATCGCATCTTCCACCCACACTCTGCCTTGCAGGCCAAAGTTGTAAAGTTCGTTTGCCCACATAATGACTTGTACATCTCATTGTTGCAATGGGTCCACCTGTATCCCAATGTAAATGATTTGTTTTTTCCCTTCCCCTCCACAAATTATACCAACATCAATACTCTGAATGCAGGGACTAAACCATGAGGGAGGGACATACAAAGCAAAGAAATCATCTTATAAATATGTTAGAATCAATCACAAGAAAGAAAAAAATCATTTGAAAACTTATCCTGGTTTTCATTTCACCTAACATCAACTTATCTGACCTTTCCTGCTTGTCTCTGTCTTATACAAGTTAATATAAATCAGGACAACCTTGGGACTTACGTTTCTTTGTGCCTGGCTTACTTCATTTAATATATTTTTTTCTAAGACTTTCTATTCTTTTTAAACAGGGCCAACAGCTTTTGTTATGGTTTGTATCCCATGATTCAAAATTTGTCCCTCTAGTAAGGTTTGCTGCTTATATATTTGGTCTTGTTCTTCCATTGTTTCCTTGCCATTTATGACTTGTCAGCTCTTTCCTGAAACAAAACAGATGTTCTCCTTAAACACATGAACAAAAAATATCACACTTTCTCTGTTTTGGGTACTAGTTTCTAAGACTCTGAGAAGCTGAGAAAAGTAGGTGTATTTGGAAATTTCTGTTGTAGTTTGCATGACAATGGGAAGTGCTCATTCTATTTTGGAGCTCCTTAGGGAAATTGACTTTCTTGTTGTGGTCCTGAATATTGTATGTGACTGTTTTCCCAGAAGCACTGTGAGATTATTATTATTATTATTATTATGATAGCTTTTGTTTTTGAGTTCATGATTTTTGTTTGTTTTTGGTGAGGTAACTTTCTGGCTTTGTCTGCTTAAATTAATAATCTGTTTTGTTAAGCTTCTACTTGGTTGGAATTTGTTTTTGCCGGGTGCTTGTGGCTCACACCTGTAATCCTAGCTACTCAGGAGGCTGAGATCTGAGGATCCCAGTTCAAAGCCAGCCCGGGCAGGAGAGACCATGAGACTCCTATCTCCAATAAATCACCAGAAAACCGGAAGTGGCGCTGTACCTCAAGTGGTAGAGCGCTCCCCTTGAGCTGAAGAGCTGAGGGACAGCACCCAGGCCCAGAGTTCAAGCCCCTCGACCAACAAAAAAAAAAAAAAAAAAGAGGAATTTGATTTTTAAAAATGTTTTCCTTCTTGGTTACTAAGATAATTTGTAATTAACAATAATTAATGAATTGTTTTAGCTAATGCTACATAAAAACAGAAATAAAAGTAAGTAGCTGAAAATATATTTTGAGATTAAGAAAACAAAAAATAAAACTTAAAAAAACAAATTATTGCTCTATACAAATTTGTTTTGGCCTTGCTAGGCTTGCAAATTTTTAAGTTTAACTAAATAAACAAGTGACCTTTGTTTGTTTTAGGCTTTCTTAAATATTTTATATTTTTAGTAATCTTCCATTACCACACTGCTTTTTCCTGTACCATATCTCAAGTGCAGAGGCCTTACATTGACAAAGAAATAACTAGTTCTTTCCTACCTATATTTGTCAGGTGGTTTAAACTTTATAGGTAATTTAAAAGCATCTGTTCAAATTGAAGTTATAAAAAAGATAATTTATTAATAATACATTTAATGGAAAATATTTACCAATAAATGGAAATACAAAGGTAGTTGTACGGTATTATCTCAAGTACTCTTGGTTTTATAAAATCTATGCAAAGAATGTTATGTTACTAGAGTCCACTCTGTTACTTTTCTCTTTCCTTTTTCTCTCTTCATTCCTTGCTCCATTCCTTCCTTTTTTTTATTATGAAAATACTGTACAGAGGGGATACAATTGCATAGGCAAGATAATGAGTATATTTCTTATCAAGCATTGTAGTCTCCTTCTTTGTTTCCCCTTCCCAACCCTTCCCATCCTCCCCCCAACTCCCACCTAATCCTCCTCCCCTTTCCTTCCTTTCTTTCTGTTTTGTTTCTTTCTTTTTTGACATGATATTACTAGGACTTCCAGGCTATCCATGATCATGTGATTTTCTTTGCAAATATTCTACCTGCAATATTAGAGTGACTCATGAAATAGAAAAAGAAGCTGAGAGTTGCTGAGAGAAGGTGGTGAACATGAATACAGAATATATAATAGAAAGAAGACATGGCCTCTTTCTAGACTATATTAATTTGGATAGAGGGAATCTAAATTCCAGAATGATATGATCATAGCCATGCCTGAATAACATGATGTAGGAATACTGTCTCACATTTCCTTGGTCTCTGAGCAAGGACAGTGGGCTTTTAATGTAAACTCAAAATTCAAAATAATATAGGAATATCAGCCTAATATGGAAGAGAGAGAGACTTTTGTCTATTCAGAGATTTTTGTTATTGAAAGGAGCTTCCAGCTACTAGTGTAAATAATTAATTGAATTAATAGCAATATGTTTTGAACTCTTGACGTTGTAAACAGATGTTCTATCATTTGAGTTACATCTTCCATCCTTTGTTTATGTTATTTTTTCAGTTATTGGGTCTCACACAATTTCCCTGCCCATTCTCAGGCTACATAACTCCTCTTATGCTTCTCCCATATATTAGAATCCAGGCATGTGCCATCATGTCTTTTATTACAGAAATATATTTTGTGACATTACTGGGATGTCCTGAAACACTGGTCCTCCTAATAGATGAGATTGCGATCGCAGGTAAGATCAAGCGCACTGAGAGTAAGTTTTTCTTAAAATTCAGAAATCTTTTCTTTCCAAAGGCCTTGCTCATGTAGTAAAAAGTACAAAGTATGAAATTCCTAAGTGGTTTTTATATAGGAAGGAAAACACCAAGTGATCCATCTGATTTTGTTGTACACATGCACACACACACACACACACACACACACACACACACACACACATACACACAAACACCAGTTGTTGCATTTCTTTCTTATAATTCTTATAGTTTGTAGAAACAAATCTAGAGAGTGTTGGTTGAAGTGCTCAGTGGAAGAGAAATACCTGAGACAGTGAACCTCCGTGAGCAGCTGTCTGAAGAATATTTTGTTTGAAGTAGAGCACTGTGAGAGGAAACTTGTTATTCTCCTGACCATAGCAATTTGCAGCACCTTCAGTCTCCACTGGATTTTTGGTAAAGTTGAAATCTGTCTCAGACCCACAGTCACTGAACCAGTTTGGGACCCCACTTTCGCTGTTGGATCCTCTATAGCTCATAAGTTTTGGAGGCTGTCCTGGTTTCTGTTGGGACCAATATCTGAAACTCTCCAAAATTCATTATCAGCATTCTCACTGGCTCTGCAGATGATGAATGCCATGTCTTGAGGAGAGAGGTCCAGAGATTCAGGAGTTGGAGTCAGTACAATGTCTCCAGTGGAACCTGGAATGATAATCCTATGTCAAGAATGGACACTATGTTGAAAATGAACTGTACAACTTTGGTGAGAGGAGGGAGGGTAGTAGTGGAAGTATGAGGGAAGGGATGGTAGGCGAAAAAGAAAGGAGGAAGCAAAAATGCTCAGTAGGAAATGTACTCATTACATTGCTCATGTAATTGCAACCCTCTGTACAGTATTTCTATAATGAAAAACATACACAAAAATTCTAGTGTTTTAAAACAAATCAATATAAAATTGATCAACCTCTGGAAAGATCAAGTAAAAAAGACAAGAGGAACCCCAAATCAATAAGATCAGGGATGCTGTGGGAAAAATTAGAACAAATAACCAAACAACCACACAATTATAAAAAATTATTTGAAGAATCTATACTCACTAAGGAAAGAAAACCTAGGAGAAATGGATGAATATTTAGACAAATACAAATTGCCCTAACTGAACTAAGAAGAAATAAATCAATTAAACATGCCAATGTCTTACAATGAGATACAGGAAGCAATCAGACATCTTCCAACAAGGAAAAGTCCAGGACCAGATGGATTCACTTCGAAATTCTATAAGACCTTTAAGAAGAACTGATACCCATACTACTCAGACTCTACCAAGAAATAGAAACAGAGGGAGCTATCCCAATCTCAATCCCCAAACCAGGCAAAACCTCAACAGGAAAAGAGAAATACAGAACACTTTCCCTGTTGAACACAGATGAATAAGAACCTCTTGGATTTACTGCCTGGGCTGGTTTCAAATTCAATCCTTGCATCTCAGGTTACTGAGTAACTAGGATTACAAATGTGAGGCACAGGTACCAGCCACTTAATTTCTTTAAGTAAAAATATATGAAACATAATGAGTATATTGAAAAATATTTTACAGTAGCTTGATGATGATCAGTATGATATAGTAGAACCATTTTTTGCAGATACATGCTTACACTGATTTCTTGATTATGACTCATAATTTGCCAATATTAAAACACTAGTATCTTCTATCCCCAGTACTTTTCCTTTACTGAGACCTCTCATATTTTGCTACCATTGTGCTATTTGATATTACTTCGCACTGTTCATCAGGATGAAGTGTAAGTGTTGATGCTGGACATGATTACTTCAACAAAAATCACTGCTACACAACCATACATGCCTCTGACTTTATTCTTTCCAAATAGTGGAAACATCATCCATCATCCCTTAAAAGATAACTAGTATATCCAGTTGCCTCTGTAAGAGCACAAGAGAGACACTGAAAAAAAAAGACAGAGAGAGAGAGAGAGAGAGAGAGAGAGAGAGTCTTCATCTCTTCTCAAGCTAGTAAAACTGCCTCTAATGAAAAATTTGGATCTGGATAAAACATATATAAAAATTTTACCAATCAGATATCATATCATGCCTTTCCTTGGACACCCCAACCCAGTTTCAGAGCACCCCAGGACACCCCAACCCAGTTTTGCTTGCTCTGTGGGGCTGGGTGATTTCCTGCTGTTCTCACTAAACTCAAGGAAAGTCAGCAAATATCCCTCATCCTGAGACACCTTTCAGCCAGCGTGTTTCTCCTCAGAAACATAAGGACCTGTTGATCAAGTGTGTGAATTTTAAGTCTATTGCGTATATTGCTCATTGCTGAGGATTCCGAAAAACAGGTTCTGGGATAGCACTAAAATTTCAAAATCTTTCCATCTCCAATTCTTTCCACATACACTTATAAGACACTTTAATTATCATCGCTCCTACTGAAAATTCATGCTGACTGGGCAAACATGGTTTATCCCACCTCAGAGGGCAGTGTTTGTTCTCACACATCTGGGTGAACTGGAGATCTTACTCCATTTAAAAAATCCTGGAAAAAGAAGCATCGTTGTAAGGTGTGCTTATAAATATGCCAAATGAAGTAGAAAATATTCAGCAACAAGCACCTCAAGAATCATGGCAGTGTGAGTAGTGTCTCAGGCACATGTGCACCATGACAGCTGTGCAGCCAGCTTGTCAGGCTCAGGTTCCTATTGAGAAAGAGGTAGCATCACTCCTGTTCTCAGTGTCTTTCTTTCTTTCTTTCTTTCTTTCTTTCTTTCTTTCTTTCTTTCTTTCTTTCTTTCTTTCTTTCTTTCTTTCTTTCTTTCTTTCTTTCTTTCTTTCTTTCTTCCTTCCTTCCTTCCTTCCTTTCTTTCATTCTTTCATTATCTGCTGGCTCAGGGCCAAAAAATTTAATTTGCTCCTCCAAAGTTATTAATCTTTGTTATTTTGGGAATTCATGCTATTACCCTAAAACAGGAGGGAAGTATACTGCAACACTACCTAGCCCAGTAAGTATTTATCCAACAGAAGCCAAGATAACATCTACAGGTATTCTCTCTCTGCTGCTGACCATCACATGCATAGTTACTCCATCTGCTAAGGCCAGCCTGGACCTGACCAATATATCATAGCAACCTTTGTAAACACCTGTCAGATAGAGTGAATGGGAATTTTTGTTGAATGGGAATTCAGGTACTTTATGTGACCTCCCACATGGCTGCATGCCCAGAAATATGATGATGTAAATGTCTTTCAAGATCTGAACTCTGGGTCTTCGTTGAGTTTGAATTTGACTCGTCCTCTGGTGGTGGAATTGTGACATAACAATCTTTAGGATTATCAGTGTTTAGTAATCGTGTCTGAACTGTGGTTATTTCCTTCAATATTCACAAAACTGGACCTATTCCATCTGGTTAAGGCCAGATTCAGAAGCAAATACAATTAGTTCCTCCTCTCAGACATTTTTTTAGCAGTTCATGAAAATAAGAATAAGGACATCATTAATTCTGAGAATTTAATGGCCACAAGGTTATTGGTTACCTAAGATGTGTGTTCCCTATGAGATGTCAAATATGTGATGTTTGGCAGAGTGGTAGGGGTTCTGAGTGACACTAAAAGTTACAATGGTAGAGTGATAGCTCTGGCTCAGATTTTACATGCCAGCCTCATGCTGTCAAACTACTCACTGACTACTTGTGCTAAGAGAGGGAATCAATCAGCTGGTCCACCTTTATATTTTAACACTACCTCTTTGCCTTGAAGGCTGTCTTCACCATCTGATTCCTATGGAATGCAACAATTGCATTGACTTGTATTTGAACTTGGACATTGCGTCCTTAGGATCAACACCATGGGACTCAGCAAGCAAAAACTACATGTTTCAAAGCCAATTTTGTGATTTCCCCTGGTGCAGTTTTTGTTTAAACCACTCACATTAACTCATTTGAGTGACTTACCAAACAGATAGAATACATAGAATAAAATCAGAATAGGAGGAGGAAGTAATATTTAATAGACTTTTAGAAAAGAGTCCTTTGGGAAGAGTAACTGCTTAGCTTCTGATTCTTGTGGTCAAACTGAAGGTGAAAATACTTTTCTGGAAAACTCCTAGAGGCAGATCATTAAAGGTTTATGTAAAGGAGAAGGGAAACAATTGAGATCAAACTCAACTTTATGTAGAATTATTTCTCTGATTTGTCATTTTAAAAATATTGGGTCTATAAAAATATTGGGTATAGTGGCTCATAGCTACAAGCCCAAATACTTTGATAGAGAGAGATAAAGTGGGTAATTTCAGAACAATTTGAGAGATTAGCACCATTAATGTGAAATCTTGTGTCACACCCATAGCAAATATACACTGAGAACATCTCAGGTGTTGTCTCTAAACCTATAGACAGGTTGCAAAATCATGAAAGAGTAAACCTATGTGTATAATCTTCCCTTGAGAAAAAAGCTCCTCCAGACATCCAGCTCATGAAAGGCTACTTGGATAGTCATTTTACTTGGATTAGTTGTGCAAATTTTCACCCTCAGCAAGCTTTGGGTAGTTGGAGAATAATGGAACAAATGACAAGACCCAAAATAAATCTACATAGCTGTAGCCATCAGATATTTACCAGTATCAAAAGAATGTGTCTTCAGCCTCTTCAGTAAATGCTGCTGGCAAAATTGTTTAACTATTTGTAGACAACTAAACCTAAATCTTTATATATCACGCTGCAACAGAACCAACTCCAAATGGATCAAAGACCTCAGTGTCAAAGCAGACACCGGAAATTATTACAGGATGGAATAGTCGAAACCTTAGGTCTCCTTGGCACAGCCCGAAATTTTCTTAATAGAGACTCAGAAAAACAACCAATCTAAGAAAGGTTGGACAAATGGGCTTGCATGAAGTTGCAGACATAGCTAGCAAGATCAATAGAAAGCCCACAGATTTGGAGATCTTCACTAACCATACAACAGACAAGAGTCTCATATCTAAAATATACATGCAACTCTAAAAATTAAATCCCCCCAAAACAAATCTTCAAAGAAACAACTGCCCAATAAATAAGCGGGCTAAAGACTTACACAGAAACTTCTCTGAAGAGGAAAGAAGGATGGCCAATAGACACATGAAGAAATGCTCAACCTCTCTAGCCATAAAAGAAATGAAAATCAAAACAACATTGAGATACCACCTCAACGCAGTTAGAATGGCTATAATCAAGAATGCTAATAACAACAGATGCTGGAGGGGATGTGGACAGAAGGGAACCCTACTGCATTGTTGGTGGGAGTGTAAACTTGTTCAACCACATTGGTAAGTACTATGGAGATTCCTCAAAAGATTCCACATAGAGCTCCCCTATGACCCAGTAGTCCCACTTTTGGGCATTTACCCAAATAATCACAAAAAAGACCATATGAAAGCTACCAGGACAACTGTGTATTGCAGCATCATTTACCATAGCTAAGATATGGAACCAACCCACATGCCCCTCAGAAGAAGAATGGATCGAGAAAATGTGGTATATATACACAATGCAATTCTATGCCTCCATGAGGAAGAATGCCATTGCCCCATTTGTTAAGAAATGGAAAGACTTGGAAAAAAATAATTAAGTGAAGTAAGTCAGGCCCAAAGAAGCATAGGTCCCATGGTTTCCCTTATTTGCAATAACTAGTATATGTCTGAGACAAGCAGGTAAGGTCAGATAAGTTGATGTTAGGTGAAATGAACCCCAAGATAAGTATTCAAATGTGTTTTCTTTCATGTGATTGTTTCTAACATATTTATAAGATGATTTCTTTTTTGCATTGAATGTTCCTCCTCCACTGTAGAACCCCTGCTTTCACTGTATTTGATGTTGGTATAATTTGTGGAGAGGAAGGGAAAAAACCAATAATTTAAATAGGGATAGATGTGGACCCATTGCAACAATATGTACAAGTTGTTATGTTGAAAAATGAACTTTACAACTTTGGTAGAGGGGGTTGTTTTGCGGGGGGCAGTGGGAGAGAAGGAGAGGACTGGGAAAGGGAAACAAAGGAGGAGGGAACAATTCTTGATAAGAAACATATGCATTATCCTGTCCATGTAATAATAACCCCTGCATATGGTATTTTCACTATTAAAATAAAAAGAATGTGTCTTCAAAAATTGTGTATGTGAAAACTGTTATATACATATTGAATATAGAGTTTATTTCCTTGATCTCACAATTTCACAATAAAATGCCAAATATATCAGATATTAGGTGAGACATGAAAGTTTAAAACAACCTTAGGGAAACAAGGAAATATACTTTAAGATAAGGTCATAGGTAATTATAAACTGGAATCCTGTTGCATATGGGCAAGAAATAACAATGGGGAATACATCAAATTAAAATGTTTCTGCATATCATTAAGGAAATATATACATATATGAATAAATATATATGCAGATATGTGTGTATTCATATACATGTATATATACTTACAATATAAATGCATATATACATAAATGTGTATATACAGATATTTATATATTCATAAACTTATGTACGTATATCTATATCTAATTTATCTATCTTCACATATACCCTGGATGGTGTCTCTGATCTTCATTTTTGCTTGAAGCTAGCACTCTGTGCCTTTGACCTCAGCTCAACTTTTTGATTTTTGGTAGTTAGTTATAGATAAGAGTCTCAAAGCTTTTCCTGCTCAGGCTGGCTTTAAACCTTGATCCTCAGATCTCAACCTCCTGATTAGCTAGCATTGCAAGTATGAGTCCCCTGTGCATAGCAGGAAATCAAATCTTAAAGCAAGTAATTTATTTTTCTATTTTTGTATTTGTATTGTTTTACATCTCACTTGTTTTATTAAGGAAGTTCTTTCAATTGTTTGTTCCTTTGTAATATCTTTAACAACTTGTGATGTTTCATACAATTTTCAGCTTTTATACTTTCTTCAAGGACTTAATGTAGTTTTATATTTTATTTTTTTTGATTTCAGACTGGTAGACAAAACAGAATCAAATTTAAGTGAATTCTAATGCCATCGCTTAGGGAGAATATTTCTGAGAATTTGGGATATAGTGACGATCCTGGGCTGTGAGCTATCTCAAACCATCATTATGATCGTTACCTTTGTTGTAGAAGTGAAAATCCCTTCCTTCTCTGTTTTTTTGCAAAGTTGCAACATTAGGATTTTGTGCATTTATTGACATAAACAGGCTGACATATTCACAGAGTTGAGACGTGGAGAATATCCCAGAGTGGTTGCTGGGCCAGGTGAGAGCATCAGCAGCTCACACTGGCTTTTTCCACAGTCTGGTGAATCCCAGGGTTATGTACCCCAAACCCTAGGAGAGCTTCACAGAACTGGACATTCCTCACTCCTAGTGCCAACTTCTATATTTACCTAGGAGTGCAGATGCTAATGATTAGACTCATTTCCTGTATTAAAACAAGTCCTGCTTGGAGAATTTTAGCTGGCTTGTGTTTTACTATGTGAATCACAAAGGATGACCATATTGGAGAAGAGACATGGCCATGTCTGTGCTTCAAGGCACAGAGGAGGAGAAATGAGACAGAGATAGAGAGGAGCCTTTGCAGAAAGTTGAATGAAAAGCTTGCAATAGTTGTCAGAGCTAGGCTGCATGTGAGAAGCACTGTCAATAGGTAGAGGCACCAGAAAGTGCAGCTGGGGCAGCCTTGCCTCTCACTTCTGCTTCCCTGGGAGATTTATGTTATGGATTGTATCACTGTGGGGGGTCAGTAGCATACTGCTCACAGTAATAAGTGGCAAAATCTTCAGGTTGAAGGCTGCTGATGGTGAGAGAATAATCTGTCCCAGATCCACTGCCACTGAACCTGAATGGGACCCCAGAGGCCAACTTTGAAGTGCAAAAGATCAGAGGCTTTGGGGCTTTTTCTGGTTTCTGCTGATACCAGTTTAAATAATTGCTAATACCCTGACTGGCTTTGCAGGAGATAGTGACAGTGTCTCCTGGAGATGCAGACAGGGAGGAGGGAGACTGGGTCATCTGGATGTCACATTGGCACCTAGTATAGGAAGCATAAAAGCAAATATCTACATTATTAGTCATGTTATTAGAGATTTCCCTGAAGCCCAGTCAGCACATGGCATAATGGATAGAGAAATGCTGTCCTTCCTTACCTGGAAGGCAGAGCAGCAGGAGCCCCAGGAGCTGAGCAGTGGTCCTCATGTCCATGCTGTGTGCTGACTGGGACTGACTGCTCAACATGGTATGAACAGCCTATATGAAGTTATTGTGACAGTGGGCTGTGACCTTGGCATATGCAAAAAGATGGAAACAGCTGCAAGACTAGCTTATCTCAGGAAATCATCACAAGTCTATGGTGCCCAAATATCTTGGTTTAGAACAGAGAATGTGATTTACCTACACATCACAAGTTATGATAAATCCTCTGTCCTATGATTATATCTATTGGTGCCTTCAGGGTGAGGACCTGGTTTACTTGAGTGTCTTAATCTCAATTCTATGTAACAACATGAAAGAGAGGATTAAGGAGAAAAATGAGTGTTTCAAGCTCAGGATATCAAAATACCTGTGAACATAAGAGAAAACAGAGTTCGTCATTTAAACTATTCTAATTTCTCTAGACATTGCATCATGTCACTGACAGGGCAGAAAATATAAGCTGCTATATTTTCCAGGAACTCATGCTTCAGTCTATTCCAAAACGCACATATAAACACAAGATAAAATATGAATACAGGCTAACACCTGTAGTCCTAGCTGCTTGGAAACCAGAGATCTGAGGATCATAGTTCAAAGCTAGCCAAGAAAGGAAAGCCTGTGAGAGTCATCTACAATAAACCATCAAAAATAAATCCCCAGAAGTGTTGCTATGGCTCATGTGATAGAGCAATAGCCTTGAGCTGAATTGCTGAAGGACATTGCCAAAACCCAGAGTTCTAGCCCTATAACCAAAAAAATAATGGCTTCTCCTTCAGTAGATGTGAGACTGAGTCAAGTTCTTCCTTGTTTATGTTACTTTATTTCATAAGATAGAAAAATTATTAAAAGCAAGTATAGTAATTGTTCAAGTATGCCATGTCCTGAGGTTTGATGGCTCAAGGGCTGGAGCCAAAGCTTGTTGCTAACAGAAAAGACCAAAGTTATATCATTATTTGTGACTTGTCATAATGACCATGTACTTTTTTTTAACTGTGGGGTTTGAACTCAGGGCCTGGGCGTTGTTCCTGAGCTTTTCTGCTCAAGGCTTAAGTGGTCTACCACTCTGAACTAGAGCTGCACCTCTGTTTTTCAGGTAGTTAATTGGAAATAAGTGTTTCATCGACTTTCTTGTCTCAGCTGGCTTCAAATTGTGATCCTCATATCCCAGACTGGTGAGTAGAAGGATTACTGGCATAAACTACTAGTGACCAGCTTCCTTATGGATTTTTAATGCCTTATTTTCTCAAATGCCATACTGTGTTAATGTCTCATGTTCTCAAAAGGGCTGTAGTACATCCATAGTTCCAGTACGAGTTTAATATTCCAGATCAGATTCAAGGTAAATCACTTTCAAGCTCCATCCCATTAAGCACCTGTTCCTTAGTCCTCTTACTTCTCTTTCTTATCACATGTGCCAAAATTTCTGTTACTGCCTGAAGATGAGAGGGGCTCACCTCTACTTTCTATACCTGCAGATCAGAAGTAGTACCCTAAAGTAGCAAAGAAGAGAAAGAATAGCTGCTGTGAAGGTTGAGTAGCATTGTGAATCATTTTAAATAGCTCTTTGTTTTTGCATTAGTCTAGGTGTGAGAGGGAGGTACAGATATGTTTGGGAAGTAACTGAAGTGGTTGGAGTAAGCTAGGCATTCTGGTTGACACTGTGGCCACTTCTGATTTTTTAAATGGGATTGCTAGATGTGGCAACTTAGAAAATGAGGTCTGTTAATTTTAAGACCAATGACTTTCATTCATTGGATTTGGAATCAGGTTGAAACAAGACTAAGGACAAGGTGGCACAGCCCCAGGTACTGTGCTCTGATCTCCTTCCAGGGAAGATACAGGTACTCTAATCAAGAAAGGATCAGAACTCTGGGGAATCCATGTGACCTGCGAATTCAGATCCAGTGAATGTATGTCTAACTGTTGTCCTGTGTTGCAATGGGTGTTTGAAAAGCTTGTCTCAAGACCTGATTCTTTTCTAACATATTAATGACCTTATACATTGTCAAGAGCTTTCTAGAGTCTCTTTCCAATCCCAGTGATATTTGTAAACATCAATTGACCGTACAGTTCATAAAAAAATTAGGACAGCATTAGAAATTTCTCTTTTAAGTCATTTTTCTCTCTAGATATCAACTTATATCTATTTACAATCGTTCAGAGTGCTGCCTGTTATATGATCATGGAGGAAAGGGAAATTTTGAACCCTTCCTAACCCACGTTCATCCTGGATATTAAGTTTCAGTGAATACTTGTGAAAAGATCCAAACTCATTGTTCCATATTATGAGAATACAAAGCTTTATGTGAAAGTGAATTGCCAGCCAAATTAAGGTACACAAATGCTGTCTAAAAATTAAAAATGGATGGGGAATGGCTCATGTGGTAGAACACTTGTATAGGAGTCAGGAAGCTTTGACAAAATAAATATATTCTCCAGTTTGTCACTCAATATATTAAACATACACATCCTGTTATTGGAAGAATCTCTATAGTTTAAAATGGCTTTGTTGTAAGCTTTTATTTCTGAATTTGCATTGAAAGCATATTGATTAAAAGAATATTTAAATAAAATAGACCACATTTCATAAACTTTAGATTTATATAATTACACCTCGAAAAATTTTAAAACCTATTATAGGTAATTGAGGGCTGTAATGAAATTTTTCCTCACAAGAGTTTGTGCCTTTGATTCTGCAGGATTGAGCCATGAAATTCTTTGTGTGTGTGTGGGGGGGGGTACTAGTTTAGTCCTCCTAGCTTCTGAAGTACTCTGAACCCAAGTTCAACACTGCTGATGTGGTGCTGGTCCTGGGTCCTTCTCTGTCTAGGACTTTGGCTCTGTGAGCATGCCAGTAGAAGGCCATTGTGTCAGAACTCATTTTTTTTCTAAGAGACGAATACTAATTACAAACAAATGGAACTGAGAATTGTGCTAAGATGTGAGGCCTCTTAATTACAACTTTTACATTCATAATTCTGATCACACACTTGGGAGCTTGCATGAAACACTAAATCCTCACTTTTCTGATATTATCTCATTTCTTCCTTGTTTTTGAGATCATGTTGCTCTTGTATTTTTATGTTTCTTTTGAGCAAAAGTAGTAGATACCTTTTCTAACAAATGGAAATTAAGTTGAAGAGGACAGACTTCCCAATAGAACTGGAGCTTCTAATCTAGGGTAGCTTGAATGAAGCAGGGGTTAGGACATTTATAACGGTTGAAGGACAGACTATAGAAATATTTTGTCCTGTAAGCTGGATATTTGTGAAGTAAGAAATCAAAGTATCACTGAAACAGATGTTCTTGGAGAGGAAAGGAAGATACTAACTTGCAGAAGATCAGTGGCCAGCATAAAGTGTGTTGCAGATTCTTTAATATGTAAATTCAGAAAACCTCAAAAAGACCATTTTTATTTGAGCATCTGTTTTAGTTTCTATGAAGAAACTGATTGAAAATAAGCTATTTTATAATTTAGTGAAGTGGAATGTCCAAAATTATTTATGGGCACTCCTCATATGTAACGATTGGTTTCAACTATTAAATCAGAGATTCAGTGCCATGGGTATTCAGCTGGAGCTAAGAAGACCAGAATGCTAGATTGCAGAGAGACTTCTTCCATTAGAATCTGGCTGCATCTGAGAAGCACTGTCAACAGGTAGAGGAACTAGGAGAAGCAGCTGGGGCAGGCCAGTATCTCACTTCTGCTTTCCTAGGAGGTTTTTATCATGGCTTATATCACTGTGGGAGGGTAATTAATATGGTGTTGACAGTAATAAGTGGCAAAATCTTCAGGCTGAAGGCTGCTGATGGTGAGAGAATAATCTGTCCCAGATCCACTGCCACTGAACCTTGATGGAACCCCAGAGGCCAAGCTAGTTGCATAAGAAACCAGAAGCTTTGGAGCATTCCTTGGTTTCTGCTGATACCAGGCTATATAATTGCTAATACCCTGACTGGCTTTGTAGGAGATGGTAACTCTGTCTCCTGGAGATGCAGACAGGGAGGAAGGAGACTGGGTCATCTGTATGTCACATCTGGGCACCTGGCATTGGAAACATAAAAGCAAATATCCACATTATTAGTCATGTTATTAGAGGACTTCCCTGAAGCCACAGGAATCACTGACCACACAGGGTGAGAGAGAGAAGTGTTATCCTTCCTTACCTGGGAGGCAGAGCAGCAGGAACCCCAGGAGCTGAGCAGCAGTCCTCATGTCCATGCTGAGTACTGACTGGGAGTGACTGCTGCACAGGTGTTAATAGCTTATTATGAAGTCATTGTTGCAGTAGGATGTGATCTAGGCAAATGCAAATCAGTAGGGCTGGGCAAAGATGGATATTCCTGCAAGGCTGGCTCATGTCAGGAAATCATCATAGGTCCATGGTGCCCATGCGTCTTAGTCTTAGACTAGAGAATATGATTCATTCAAACAAGACAAGTCACAATCAGTCTGCTGTCCTGTGCATAGATCTGTTGGTGCCTGCAGGGATGAGGACTTACTTTTCCTGTGTGTCCTAATCTCAATTCTCTGTAATGGCTCTAGAAAGGGATAAGATAAAGGCAAAATCAGTGTTTTATATTCCGTATATGGAGGAAGTGAATATATGGAGAGAATAGTGTTTCTGGACCTTTTAAACT